GTCTATGTGTAGCTAAACTCACCCTTGTTGGGGTTTGATGTAACTAAACCCATTCTCATGTGTAAACTCTAAGCTATCAATCTAAGTTGTTATTCAGTTTTATTGCTCTTTTTCTGTGCATAATGCTTGTTATGGCTTGATCACCCTTAACTTGAACTTAAGGTTTTTAAGAGATTGAGAAATGATTTTAAACCTTTGACTTGAAATAGAGCAGCTAATGGTGCTTATTGCTAGAGATAGAGTAAATGCCATTGGTCTTTCTTAAGCTCTTGTTTTTAAAGCTGGTTTCTTGGTTAAACTATGCAAAAGATTGATAGTTTAAGCTAGCAACTTAGATGCCAACTTGTAAGAGATTAGGGTTGGTTACTTTTGAGAGTGATTGATAAAATTCTGAATAATAACTATTGTGAACTTAGTGATAAGCATGAGAGGAAGGTTTAGTGAAGTTAAACCCCAACAATTTATAAATATTGCATTAGAATAAAGTTTTGCACTCTAAGTGTTTACCAAAATACCAAAAAGAATTGTTATTGCTTGTTTACATTATTTACTACAGCAAATCAAACTCTTATTGCTCTTCGGTAGCTTAGTTAGTATAACAAGTGAAATTGCAAAGTGTTGCGCAAGTCTCTTGGGAGACGATACTCATACTTTCATTGAACTACTTATACGATTTGGTACACTTGTCAAACGAGATAACAAGTTGTAAATTGTGAGTTGAGCTTTTAAGCTGTGGAGTTGACTGTGTTGTTTAAAGTTGAAATGAGTTGATAGTTGAGTTGATGAGATGATAATTGTGTTGTTGTGTTGTGATGATGATTTGTTGATCACTAAGACTAGAGGAGATGTTTTTGAAGTTGCTCATCCCATTGTGTTAATATTGAGAGTGTTATGGTGCTCTAAACGCCCAGTTTGTTGAAAAACCCTCCTTGGGAAGTTGTCCCTTGGAGTGGATGATGTGTTGTTCTCCTCTAGGAATTAGTTGATACTGTGTGTGAGCAAAGTTGAGGCACGCGTGTATGAAGAAACCATGGTATAGGGGCAAGGTCGAGCTATACTGATTACAAGCGGCCAATTCGAGTAAAGTTCGAAGTCGGGAACTTAGTTCCTAACCGAGTATCGGAGGGTTGTAGTATTTGGAGAATAGTCAGTAGACTAATCCCATATGTGGCTTAATTGAGCTAGCTAATGTCGTGGTAGGCCTAAACCCAGTTGTCCTATCCTGACATAGTACTATACTTCCTTAATGTTTAAGTGACAAAGTCTGAGAAACCGTTATCGTATTGTAGATCTTTATCCAAATTTTTTATTTACCTAGCAAGCCCAAAAAGGTTCTGTGTTGTCAGTTCGATAGGACCTAACCACTTAAGTTGCTCACCCTGTGTTGTAGGAGATCTCCGAGTTAAAATGCTATGTGTTGATGAGTTGATATTGTGATGATATGAGTTGTATGTGTTGACTTGTTGTGAAGGTTCTGTTGAGATGTATGTTGTCTATGTGTTGTGTGTTGCATGATGAATAAGCTTTTATTTTTGGTAGTGACGTTGTGTTGCAGGTTGCTTTTACATTCATATGTTGTTTTAGTATTATGTATTGTATGTTGAACAAGTTGATAAAAATGATGACAGTGATGTTAAGTTGCATGTGTTGTATGTTGAACTATTTGATGATGATACTGATGTTAAGTTGCTAGTGTTGTAAGTTATTTTCCTATATATGTGTTGTTTATGTGTTGTACGTTGTATGTTGAACAAGTATGATAATGATGATAGTGTTGTTAGATTACCAGTGTTGTAAATTGTTTTTAAATAGGCTAAAAACCTATTTTGGTCATTTATAATAATTGTTTGTTTCAATTTAGTCACACTTTTATTTTCGGTTTCAATTTGGTCCCAAATTAATTAACTGGTTTCAATTAGGTCCCTAATAAATTAATTGGTTTCAATGTGGGACTTCCGTCCAAATTTCTTTAACGGTGTTAACTGTTGGCCACGTGGATGTCACGTAGATGCATAGGTGGATGCCAATTTTTTTGAAAATACCTGGAACCAGAACGGCCCGTTCTGAAACTAGAACGGACCGTTCTGGATGCACTCTTGGTGTGTTAATTTTGCATCTAAAAAATAAACACACAAAGAGTATATCAGAACGGGTCGTTCTGAAACCAGAACGACCCGTTCTAGATTCAGAACGGGCCGTTCCAAAATTGAGAATAGAATATTATTTATTATTTTATTAAAAAATATAATAAGTTTGAAAAATATTTTTTTATGGTAAAAATTTTAAAATTACTTATTTTTATAAAATACAATTATCTTATAAATAGAGTAATAACTTTTTCTTTTTCTCTTTCTATCTGAATAAATATTTAAGTGTCACTTTATAATTTTTTGTAACTTATTTAAAATTAGAGGAATAAAATGATAAAATTTAATAAGATAAACATAATAAAATTATTAATTTATTTTCTTTTAGTGTCCTCTAAATTTTTACATTCATTTAAAACAAAAATATTTTGTATGTTAATTTGAATTAATTTAACGAAGTATCATATGATTTTTAATTTTTTAAATTTTTTTATAAATATACATGAAAAACTTTTTAATTTAACAATTAAATTCTTAAAAATTTGATATAGAACATTAATTATTAAATAGAATAAATCTATCAAGACTTATTCTTGAAGTAAGTAAAATTTTTTCTTCACTAAAAATGAAGATAATTTTACCACAAAATAAAAAATAATTAAAAAATAAAATAAAATGTAAAAACAATATTAATCTTATCCTTGCATGTTTCCATATGGTTTGGACTGTGATGATCATACGATGTATGGGAGCATGACAAGTATAAGCTAGGAGATAACTGCTAGAAGCATAAGGAGATGTCTGAAGTAGATGTTTCTTTTGTAAATTACCTTATGATAACATAGAGTAGCTTATAATTTAAAATTTCATTTAATTAAAAATTGTATATATTAATAATTAATAATAATTATTATTATATTAGCTTTTATATAAATTAACGATAACTATGTTAATTAGTTAAGGTAGTAAATTTGATTCGGTTATAATTAAGCAAAATAATAAATGTTATAGTAATTAATATTAATATTGATTTTAAATGAAAATAAACCAATTTTTTTCCCAAAAGCTAACCCTATATATCAATTAGATTTTTGAATAAGGAATTACATATTTGAAAATAATAAATTTAGGTATATTTTATCAATTTACTAATTTATTAAAATATTAAAACAAATATTGATTCACTTAAATTTATTTGAAAATATCCATGAACCTCTTTAACGGCTTTTATTCACTTGACTTTTATATTTTCGAATTTAAATCTAACAATAAAAGAATAAAAATAAAACAATATTTTAAAATTAAATTATGAAAGATTTCATTTCAGTTAATATAGATATTAATATATTACAATAGTATTGAACTATATTTCGTTTAGTTATAATACGATTTAATTATAATGAGCAAATTTTTATATTATAAATTCAAAACACACAACCCATAAAATGTTGGAGAAAAAAGTTTCTTTAAATGAATTTATCTATTCAAATAAAGATGCCTTTATTTTAAATAATTTATTTAATTAAACTTTTTTTTAACCTTATTTATTTCAAAATTTCAATTTAATAATAAATTTTAAGATAAATAATTGTTTAACTTTTTTAAAAGACAAAACATAACTTATTTTTATTATTTTTGTTATATTACAAGGTATAATTCTAAAAAAACATAGTTAAAATTAAAGTTCGTTTAAATTAAAATTACTTCACCTTACATAAAATAATGAAAATTTCGGTGCATAACCATGAAATTCTAAAGTGTTCACTTCTTTTATTATTATTAACTTATAGCTAATTAAGTTTTAAAAGTTTTTTTTTAAAATTTTAATAAGGTGACATTAAATAAAAAATTAATTATATAAATCATATATTTATGTACCAACCTAATTCATGAACTAAATAAGTTGAATCATACACAACTCAAGTTTGTCCTATTTATTTATCGAGCTCAATCTTTAACTTAAATTCAACTCATTTAGTTCATGAATCAAATTTAACGAGTTAATTATCAAATCGAGTTTTAAATTATTTTTGAGTTGGTTTGATTTATTATATCACTCTTTACATAATCATAATTGTTGTTTCAAATATATACTTCCTTTATTCTCAATTATAAAAAAAATAAAAGCAAAAAATTACTAATTATTAGTATTAAATTTTACAAATTTCATAATATTTTTCTGAAATTATCTTTGTTATAAATGTAATAAATAAATAAATAAATAAGTAATGCAACTAATTAAGAAATCATGCATCAAAAAAGAGATATTTTAAAAAGATTATTATTAAATTCAGCAAAAAATAGTTGAAATTTACTTAAATTTAAGAAAAAAAATGAGTTGTAATAAATTTACTTAGTTAACTAATAAATATATATTACATAATTAAAAACAATATATTTAAAACTAATGCATTAACTAATAAAATAATATATGAGTTAATCACCTATATATTCATTACAAGAAAAAGTTAAATTTTCCACGGATAATTTTCCACGGACAAAAATTCGTCGAAAATTTCCGACGGATTTAGATTTCTGACGGATTTTTAACTGATGAAATTTCCGATGAAATTTTCGACGAATTTAAATCCGTCGGCATTTCCCACGGATTTAAATCCGTCTGAAATTATTAAATAAAATTGAAGCCAATTATTTTTCAAATGTAACCGATCCTGATCTAATTAAGCCAATTGTCAGTGTAAAGTTTTTTTACACTGGCAAACAATTATATCTTTTAATTGTGTCATGTCACTATAAACACATTTACTTTTAACAGTGACATGACACAATTAAAAGATATAATTGGTTATTACTGTAAAAAAAATTTTACACTGGCAATGTATAAATAATTAACTCATAATATATTATCTAATTTTGAATAATTTACCTTTTTATCTGCGCATCGCGACAGTTTATGTCTGGTTTTCAATAACGTTTGATAGATTTTTATATGTTCATTTACAATTTACGTACTGAACAAAATTTTCAGACCTCTTCAACCAACATTTAAGAGTTTAGGAACAGCAAACGGAACATGCCAGATTTCTCAATATATCACGTTTCAAGCAGACTTGATCTCCTTCGACGTTGTAATGTGCTACATTGTTACAACTGTGATTTCTTGGTACACTAAGAATTTTTCTCTATCAGCAAATCCCTTCTAGCTAGTTCCACATAGAGTTTTGAATTGTCGGGTGAAAGGTTTTAACTGATAAAGCATGCTACTATAACTCGTTGAAACTGCCATGGAAGTTAAGAAACTTGTTAAGAATAACTAGTTTGTAAAGATATTAGTTTGTTAGAAATGAACTCTATAAATAGAGCATTAACACACTATCATTGTATCTTTTATCAATGTATCAATTCAATGGGAATTTTCTATTGAGGCCCCCTCTTATTCTTTGAGCTCTATTAGTTTGGCCTTATCAAGTTGGAGTGACTTGTGTTGAATCACATATCACATTTCTGAAAACTTATTTAAGATTAGCTGAGAAAGGTTGAGAGACATTAAGTCAATGAAGAGAATGCCATTAGCCTTCTTTAATTTCCACAAGTGGTTTCTAGCCATCAAATTACTAACTGCAAATTGGGAGTGTGCAGTCCAGTAAAATAGGTATCATATTTTGATTAGATGTTGCTTCCATATATATAAATAAAACAAATGAATGTCGTCTGGCAATAAATTGTCATAAAAATTAAGAAACACTGGCAAGCAAATTGCAAGTTAGGAGCCAAAAGTTTGAACCAGATTTTACATGTTAAAAGTGTATTTTACATTCAAAATTATGTCTATAACTCTTGCTCATGAGATGCATGATCATTGCAATTTATGACAACCTAAGAACTTATTGTGAAAACCAACAAAAATCAGACTTACACCTTCGTATTTATCGTGGTATCATAAAATGGGCAAGAGCTGAATTCCCATCAAGTCCCTTGTTATCATAGTAAGCAATGAAATCTTTGAGTGATGTTTCCCTATAAACTGGGGGGTTATCTTCTGACAATAGTTCCTTGATGGGTCCATACAATCTTGTTGTTGGATGCAGATGAAGAGTAAAAAAGCATGCCACCGATACTCTAGGCCCTATGTGGTTTGCAAGCACACGGTGCTCCACACTTTTGAATCTGTCGTTGGACATTAGCTGCAATTTTGCAACATAAAATCCACTTTTAGCCAATAATTTCTTCATACCGATGATTGAATTCAAACTCATGCAAACATAGAGGCAGAGAGATGTATGTGAAAACTAAGAACAGGTAGGATCAGTCTTTAGTCCTGCAAATTAGTCTCATTATTGTAGAATCATAGCAGCTGATGCTTATTCTCATATGTAATTAACACCAATTCAATGGAAAAAGGTCTAAATATAATGATGATGACAAAAGTAATGCTCATCATAAAAAAATACATCGAATCTAATTTTAGAAGACAAACTTATTTGTGTTTGATAAGATTATTGTAGGTGGTAAAATTCCTATTTTTAGTATTTAACACAATTGCAGAGTTTAAATTCAAGTACTGGTTAAATTGAAACAACCTCATACCAGTTGATTAAGCTATAAGGATATGAATGATAAGATAAGGATATGAATCAACTTCCTATTTTCCAATGGGAACCTTTGTAGGAATTTTTATAACCTCTTATGTAATTCATTTTTTATTTATCATAATTAATTATTAATTAAATATTAATATTTTAAAATAAATTATCAATAAATAAAAAATATTTTTTACAATACAGATTATTAATTGTAAATTTAAAATATAATTTATATGTTTAAAAATATTTATATATA